CCATATTGAATGTTTATCCCAGTGTCAATGAAATTATCGCCGAATTCAAATATTCTTAGTACCGAGGAGTTGGTCTCACTTTTTTAAAGTACGAGTTATACTTTTGTAAATTACACTTATAATTCAAACGAAAGTACGCACGTAATCATTTGAATTAGACTTTCTAATCAAGTAATTTTCACTTCATAAATTAGCCATTCGGTAATCCGATAATAATAATAATAATAATAATAATAATAATAATAATAATAATAATAATAATAATAGAGTAAAAAGAAACAAATTAAATTAAAAGCATACTATTATAGTAAGATAAGCGTCTTTAATTAAAATCGGAAGCTTTACTTCGGACAAAATATCTCAACCTAACTAACATATTACATTACTAACTTTGAAGATGTGCTAATTGAAAAACTTTCCCTTAAGAAATGCTTGAAAGCTTATAAGTAACTCATCGAAAGGATGTAAAATTTTCATTAACGATCAAAAATTAATCCCTCGCTTGAAAATTCAAAACCAACTTGATTATTTTTACATCGAATATTAATTAACAAATTGTACAGCTCGCTCTTACCTATAAGCACGCTGAGTACGCTTATGAGTAAATAATACCCTGGCAGACCACATAAAACGAACAAAAGGATTTTAACGCGTCATCGTGAAAGAGTATTAATTTCCTTTTTACAATAAAGGATGTAGGTATATCAAGGCCGAGCTATGCATCATACGATGATGCCTGCATGTAAAAGGAAATAGAGTCAAGGAAAGGCGGTAACTGCAGAATCTCGGAAAGCGTTTATGCGCCTCTTGCAGTTGCATTTTGAAAGCATATCGTTGACAATAAAACATTGAAAACACGAGCGTCTTCCTTCGTTCCGCGATTTCCGGATATCCTGGCGCGCATCGAACGTTGCGCAAAGAAAGGCTCGTAGAAAGTCCGCGGTTGAGAAAATCATCCCGTAATTAACGGCAGCCAATTAGCTGTATTACGTCTTTTGCAAATGACTCGTGGATGGCGGGAGGGAGAGAGAGGGAAATGCGGGAAAGCCCGTAGAGCTCGGGCATGGATGCCAATGCGTCTCCTCTCATTTATTTATCATGCGTGTATAGTCCGTGTGTTATAAAATGCCATGGCGGCTTCCGCCACTATAATAAATCATTATTATATCATTCGCTTTAGGATTTTAGAGCTTTCGGAGGAGAAATGCCATCGGAACTCTATGCTTCGTTCTGTCCTATGGCGAATCCATGTTGCTTTATGGAGCTTGCATCGTTCTAATTAAAAAAAAAAAAAAAAAATCATTTATTTATGTTATTGTTTAAATTACTGTTAGCAATTGTAAGCATATACGAGCATAACTATTTTCTATACGATAAAAGAGGGCCTACACGAATAATATTTTATTTGCAATTTAATGAAAGGAATCGTTATTATCGTGGTACTTGGGCGATATTTGTATTATGCCGAGCAACCGACTACTGCCTATATAGCTGCCGTAAAGCTGCAATTACATTCTTTAACAAGAATTCCGTAACGTATTCGGAAACTTTGTTTTCCCAAAAGGAAATTTTTCTTTGAAACTATTAAAAGTCAATGGTACGGTTTCACTCCCGATCGAGCCCGTAAAAACAAGTTCCAAACGAATGACGAATAAAGAGGGAAGAGCTGCGACGAGCAAAGGAAAAAGAGCAAGCGACGCTCGAAGCCCTCGGTCGTAGCCGGAAGCGCGTGGAAAGTTTCAAGAGGTCCGATCGATCTTAAGCGAATCCTCGCTCGGGCTTCCAGCTCTCGTCGGAGAGGTCGGAAGGTCGCGCGATTAATGCACATGAAGAAAAGTGTCGCTCTTTTAGGATTTGGTTTACTCGGGTGGATTGTCACCTTTTAGTCGGCTCTTAGTGCTCGATGGTTTGGCAGCCGATTAATGGAGCGAAGAAACTTTCCTTTTAATGGAATACAATTGCGCTATCCATTATAAGAAATATTGCGTCGCGTGGCGTATTTGACAATTTGTTGAAGCCTAGACAATTTATATTACATATCGTTAAACGCTATTTGCTGGGAAATATCTTTTATTTCTAAATGAGAATCAATATCGAATAGATATCGTATTGATAATATGTAGATAAGAAAAAATAAAACAAATAATCAATATATTACTCTAATAATGTCAACTATTTACTTTAAACTGAATTTCCATATAATTAATATATATGAGATAAAATCTTTAACTCGTCTCTCCTTGACATTCTAAACAAAGATATTTGTTCACTATTTTTTGATTATTTTTTTAATTAAAAGACATTAAAAAGTAATACGTCTATGTATTAAAACTTCGAAGGAAAAATTATTTTTTCATACCTTTACCTATAAATTATATATATATATATATATATATATATATATATATATATATATATATATATGATAATAAATATTATTTCTAAGTAAGAATAAGACACGAACGTTATTTCAAGTTTTTAAGATACGACATTTCACATTTAAAGAGACGCGATTTACATGGGATGTTATCGTTCAATTCTGAGAATTCGTTATAAATCTAATAGAAAGTATATCACCCGCGAGATTAAATACTCGTTGTATGTAACTTATGCTCCACTTTAAAATACTATAAGGGTTCACTTTATCAGAATTAAAACATTTTTATTTTCAGATAAATAATAAGTGCCATTTATTAAAAAGGATATTATCGGCAAAAGTGTAAACTCAGTTTAAAATAAAAAGTTGGCATTATTACTGTAAAATATTGATACTTTCGAGGGAAAAGGAGTTTGAACGATTGAATAAAAGAATTTCCATTAATTTTAAAGGGCTTTTTTTCAAACCGGAGAGTATGTATCTAATGCATCAATGCATCGTGGATTTAAAAAATGTAAATTATGGCGGTATATCTTTTCCATCGTATATTTCTTACGGTGCACTAAAATCATTCAACATATCAAATAGTATTTAATGGTGGAAGTAATTGAGCCAGTCGTACGGAAACGTCAACATGAAGAAAATGGAATTGTTTCGTGAGTATTTACTCAATATTCAATGGTAGTAGTTCAGGACTTTTGCATCATCTTTTTAATCAGTGTCGATGAATCATTACAAGAGCAAGGCATATGAACATCTCAACGTCTTTAATATGTCCAACACATATTAAAATGTCTAGCGATGTGATTCTCATCAACGTCACATCGTAAATCCAACGCATAATTAATCGCCGATTCATCGGCAATTTCGTTATAGCAAATCCATATAAAGCTGCTTCGAACGCACTTACCCATCCCACTGAACAAACTTCTACATGAGAAAGCATAATAAAGGAAATAAAGGAACCGTACTTTCGATCTTTATGAAATACTTTGCAGCACCAACGAATTTTCCGCGCATTAATGAAAATAATAGCGATGGAGTAACGGCGACCTCGGCGTGGTCGGTGCCAGGAACGCGAGTAGCTCGTCGATTCTATTTATTTTCTCAAGGGCTTCGCCATTTTTAACCTTCGACTCTTCAATTTGTTTTGACTGTTCCAATTTAAGTGACACGTAATCCGCATAGCCAATATTAGTAAAAGATATTTGTAATTTACATATTCATCGTCAAATTATTTAATTATAAATGTCAACGCTGCTATCATTAGCCCCGACTATTTATTAAATCTAGCATAAAAATTATTAATAATTGCAGCGAAAATACACATTATGCACGTACTTCTTTCCCCGTACCCCCACCCACTGACTTCAATATAAGCCATCATAATGTCAAATATTTGTTATTAAGTGTCCTGAATTATGTAGCTGTATTACTTTCAAAAGGTACATTCAATATTTTCATGCACATATTTATCTAAGGAATTGTAAAATGTAAATTAATATTTTTGGATAGTTAACAAGAAACTCTCACTTTCATCCATTTCTATATAAAACGTCCGATAAAAATCATTAAAGTACGCATTTATCGCTAACTTCTCAATGATTTTCGAAAGATAATACGCTATAATAGATTCTTTGACGTGCTAATTCAGACTTGTAGTATTTAGCTGCAATAACTGAAGAAAATTGATGAAAGCCAAAGGGATCGTCGAGTTAGCCACTTTTTGAATTCGAAGCTCAAAGTACGTAGGAACAAATATATATGCTAACGATGTTCAACCAACAAAATTAACTTTTCCTTTCGTTTTTTAAATAAAATTCGTTGTAGCGTCGAGTAGTATCTATATTAACTGGGCAATAGATTTATATATAAAAAAAAAAAAAAAAAAAAAAAAAAAAAAAAAGTAAGGAAAAACGTACAGTCAACGCAATGGCGTTTTACTATCGGCTACAACAGAATCAGTTTCTGTATAAATGTCAATCAATAGGCCTGACAAAGTGAAACAGCAGAAAATTATAATAATAAAAAAAAAACAAAAAATATTGCAGATACATTTCTTAAGCATGGAATTATCGATAGTCCAGTGACGAAGAGATCGCTCGACAACAGCAGCGTTACGATCAATGAAATATAAATCATTATTTGCTTATTTGCTTCTTCGTAATAAAAATTCCATGACATAACATTACAATTGTCTTTTTACACGCGACTGGTTATTCGAAATATTTCATCGGCGAAACGGCCATTCCTTTTGGCTTTGCTTGATCGATACGACTACTTTAAGTCGCGCAACACTCGTCCGCGGTATCTTGCACCTCTAACAAGTTCTTCGCGCATTATTATCATAAGCGATAAGCGATCGATAATACGCGATGCACAACGTCCGCTAGTCGCGATCGACGGTAACGCCAGCAATACCCTAATGACTTTTCCATTATCGCGGCCATCCAACGATCTATCATCACACGAGGTTGAAAACTACTGGGAACACCAAGTCCGAAGCCAAAATCCTTAACAGCCACCTAAATTAGAACCTTTCAGTTAGTTGACATCTCGGCGAATCCGTATGCGAGCGACGATCGCGAGGCCGATTTAAGGTAAAAGTGACGTTGCGGGCGGCGCGATCATCAAACTCGTGATTATCGAGATGCACGACTGAGTGGAGCGAGCCCGAGTTAGGGGACACCGAGAGCCATCGGATCATCGAAAAAAATGGTGGTGTCGCACCGCGAGAGCAGCATCTCCTCCAACATCCGGGCGATAATCGAGCAGCTGAATCTGAATCCGGTGGAGCGTCGTCGACTGATCGAGTCGCGGGCCGAGAGTATAGATGGCTTGAAGCAGCAGCTGGTGGAGTCGCCAAAGTCGCGGGTGACGATTGGCGTCTACGGGATGAGGCAGACGACCGCGGAGCAGCAGTGCAGATCGAGGAAGGTCGGGAGAAGAGTCGAGCCGAGGCCCAGACAGCGGCTGCCACCGAGGACCGAGCAGACGCCCTCGGCGATATGGCCGGAGCTCGAGGACGATAGAGCGTTGCCACCCCCGGGGGACGCGTACACGGTAATATCAATGGGAATTCGAATCCACGGACATCGCCTCGCCTCGGTTTTCGGTTCGGAACAGACTTTCCCAGCCCCGATGATCGCTCGCTCGAAACGCGCGAGAGACTCGTCGGGCTACGTACGTCGATTATTCCACCCACCACCAGCCCACCCCTTTTATTTTCAGAATTTATTGGGAATTTCGATTGATCTCGTTTCCTCGGTGTGCTGTAGTTTAAGATGACGTTGGTTGTGATTGAAATACGGTCAATCTCGACGGCGAACAGATTTTCCCTATTCGATTTGTCGTTGCTCGCTTCCCTTTTTCATTGTCGCTGCCTTTGCGATTTCAATCATAGGCATAATAACGTAAAAGGGTAGGGATAACGAGTAAAAGTAGAGAAAGCAGAAGAAGAAGAAGAAGAAGAAGAAGAAGAAGAAGAAGAAAAATAATATTAACAGGAAGAAGAGGAAGATGACGATGAAGAAGTGAATAAATATATAAGCGATCACGATATTTCGATGTGTGGCAAAAGGGAATATGTTTGTGGCACTGTTTTGACGTTTTTATTGACGACAATTTATTTGGATGATGTAAATGGAAATACCATTGTCCGTGTTTAAAATAATTTTCCAATATTTCGTTTTATGCACAGAGTAAATATAGTTGTTCGGTTGATTGGTCGAAGGTTTCGCCTGGGAAGTAATACATAGAAAATTTGAAGCTCAACATTGTATAAACGCGTTGGGCAAACATGTGTTGTGCTCCAATGAGTTTGCAATGCAAATTGTAGACCGGAAGAGAATTGGCCGTATCGATCAAAGAGTCGAGGCCTTTCGCGAAAAATATAATACCATAACGCCTAAAACAAAATTTTACGAAATCTCATAAAGCGACCGCTCGTAAGGATCTCAGCGTCTAATGATCTTCAATTTCGAATGGCATTCAGTGTTGACCAAATGCTTGAAGTTTATTGTAATAATATTAAAAATAATATAGTTTGGGCTACGAGCGATGAATGGTCGTTAATTTGGTAAAAGACATGTTATGTAAAAGAAAAGTTTTACGTTTCTCCAATTAAATTCTTGAAAATGTATTTTCTTTTATCGCACAGCACGTCGCTGCGAGCATTTTACCATTTATTTTATAACTAAAAATAAAACTATCGCTCGCGCTCGAGGGTTTCTCGCACAAATGCAAGACGGAAATGAAATCATTTGTTTCCGTAATTTATTGTAGACGTAGGTATCGCTAAATAAAAGCCAGCTACTTCCGAACGTATGAAAAGACGACCCAAACATCGCCACTTATCTTCAAAAAGATTTTACTTGCGCGCACATCTACAGATTCTTTAGCGATTATCAGCTCCCATTGTGCAATAGATTCGTTTTAATTTCCTCTCGAGTTTCTCTTAGTAAAATGAAATCCGCACGCTAGCAATGGACGGACATTCTCGTAGAAATTCAGCTAGAAATTCCATTATCCGTAGGGTATAAAGGACAAGAATTATCCCTATTACCATACGACGCTTTCACAAAATCCCTGAGAACTTCGCACCGAGTCAGGTGACGTCCATATTACAATTTCCGCTAAATGCCTAGGCTCATTATAAATAAAGAATGCAACATCGTAATCGAAGGGGCTCGCGCCTTCCCACCAAATAAAAAGACGCTCCCATTAAAAATGCCTAAAATTATTCATAATTTTTTATGAAAACCTCTCGCTCCACTACCCATTCGACCATTCAAATGTCAGTCTTTGCGCCTCCGTCCAAACCACGCCCCCATGAAAAAACACCAATTTCCCATTTTTTCCAGAAATTAAATTGCTCTTCGACAGCTCGTTATTCCCTCACCCCCAATTCCCAAGTCCCGCGAGGATCGAATCCCGGAAAAGCGCGCGACACCGAAATCGCGCTTCTCCGCATGCGAGTCCCGAGTGCGCCGTTAAGTCGCGCACTTTCGCACGGCCACGGCGAACGGTAACGCGGCCGTTTCTCTCTTGGGAAACGACTGTTATGACGACTGTCCTGGCCTCGCGCGGTCGCTCGCCTCTCCTCGCCTTTCCCCGAAACGAGGCGAGAGACCAGGCGAGAGACAAGGCCAGCGGAGGAAAGGCCCGCGTCCACCTCCTTACGACACCTTGCATTCGAATTCTTACTCGCGCGAATTTTGAGGAAGACCCGCTAAGTACGGGACGGGACGTGGTCTAGTGGCAATTACGTGGGGGCAATGGGGGGAGCTCGCCCGTACGGGGTGATACGTTTAGCCTTCAGCGGCTGTGGCATCGGCTTTAGGATGCGAATTAAGACGGCCGTTGACGTCGCGTTCAATGCACTTTGATGTTGCTTGCGATCAGTGTCGCTCGAGTTATCGCTTAATTTTCAAATGCTCCCTCTCGATCGAGCCTCTCGTACTTTATAAGAGTCAGATTGTTACGTAATACCATAGTGTGAGCAACCGATAATAATATAATAATCGAGAAATGCCACTTTTCCCACGATAATGAGCGCGCAGGCGAGCCGGCATAACTGTTAACGCAGCGCTTATAACGAACGCGAGCGAGCGGTTTCTTTCGTCGAACCAGTTTACGTTATTATTCTATAGCGGCGCGTTCGATCGCTCGATCGCTCGATCACTCGTCACAAGGTAAGTCATAAGTCACGAGTCTCAGATTTAGTGATTGGAAGGGACGATTTGGCAATTGGCGCGGGGGAGGTATCGACCACTTCGATTTAACGAATGTCGCCGGGAACGAGGGAGGGCGGCTTAACGGTTTTAGTTCGAGCCAGGTGACCGATAATAATGGGAAGGGAACCGGCGGCTGATTAAGGGGGCGCAAAGGAAAATTAAATGAGCGATGAGAGATGATAGTTACGAAGTATAAGAAATAATTCAGACTATGGATTATTATTAAACGGTATTTTTGTTTGTTTCGATCTCTGCCCAGGTCCCGAGGAGAGATGCAGCCACGCCGACGAACATCCCAGCCATCGAGACACCGAGTTCGCCGTTTAAGGAAGATTTACGTATGTATACAAAGCCATTGTGTAATTTTAGACTTTGCCACATTGCCGGGCTTTCTTTTTCATTTTGTAGCGAAACCGCGAATACCGAAGCCGCTCTATCGATGCGATGCTTTCCCGAGCGAATCGCGAGACTTTCGACTCACCGGCTAATAATTGAATTGGCTGATCACCTAATACTTTCGTCGGCACGTGCAAAATGCCATCGAGTGGCCGTCGCGATCTAACGGATGTGCTCGATGAGAATTTAGATAAGATTGCGATTGTTTGTGCTTTTGGCAATTTTCGGGCAAAATTCGATGGGGCCGGCCGTCTGTGATGAAATCCGACATTGGCCGGGAAGGCAAGAGTATGGAGTTTATCAACGAGGGTCCATTGAGTGGTGAAATCTCTACATTCGGTGACGAAAGATTTTCGTTCGGTGATATATCGTACGGTACGACAGTACGGGAGACTGCATTTCTCAGTTTATTAATAAAACAATTACAATTAAGAAGCCGTGACCATTTGACTGTTTTTATAAATTGATAAGTATAAACAATGAGACAATTACGAATTCGAGTATTGAAAGAAGTGTCTTATTTACTTTTATACGATTGTACGGCTCTTATAATTTTATAGTAAATTTCCTTGTTTAATGGCATTGAGCAGTGGTAGAATAAACGTGTGATGTAAACACTGTAAGCAGTAATTAATTTCGTTCGTTATTGCTCAAACAAAAAACAATGGATCGAATGAAAGTGTGCTTTGCCTTGGTACATTTAATACACGCACGCACACGTAGAGATAAATGGATAGATAGATAGATAGATAGATAGATAGCAAGATATATATATATATATATATATATATATAGAGGCTCTTTGTAATAAGAATTTCTCTTTATGAAAAGCGTTGTCTGACGAGAGGTCCTTTCAATTACTCTCCATTCAATTCTCGTCAATTCTTTCACGCACGCTCGCAGCTAAAAACTGATAATTAATCCTCGTCTCGCGGAAGGTCTGCCAATAGAACTCCAGTCGCGGTCCCTTTGTCGCCGATAGAGATGCTGCCGTACGTTATACGAAATGAGCGCGAAATTAGTCATTTGCGACGTCGCTTGGAAACACGTTATTTCCTCTCTGCTAAAGCTTCGCGTGCCGTTAAAATTAATACAAAGCTGGTCGCTCGGTCGGGGAGAGCCGCGTGACTCGCTGCAATTAACGCGCTTTTGCGGTGGAACCCACGAACGACGTCATACGAGTGAATTTAAGCGCCGCCCGCCATTCGCGCTATCCTGATACGAGGATTAATCGCGATGTGAATCCGCGCGAGTGCTTCGGCATCCCCGTCGGCATCTTGTTTTTAATTACATGAGCACTTTTAAATTCGGGCGGAATTCCGGGATAAGAATGCTTTCCCGATGACCGCCATTTCCTTTTTGCCGAATGGGATAGGTCGCTTTACGAATTTGAATCGCTTTACGCTTTGAAAATCAGTTTGTCCACTGGAATAATCATCTCGTCTAACGACATACAACTGCGAACTCGAAATAGAACTGCTGTTGTGCAATTACTGTAAAAGGATTTCCGAGTTGTGCTTTCAAATTTTCTACTTTAATAAGAGCCCGGGACGGAAATTTCGAAATAAATTAAGAACCTAAATAACAACTATTTAAATATATCTATTACTCGTGCGCGCGGATAAATGTTAATACGTCTTTATCTTACTATTATTATTATTATTAATTTATTAATATGTGTTAATAATTTATCTCGTGGCTTATTCCAAAATTAGCGAATTAATTAAATTTTGTTATATGTAAAAATACACAATTGGCCCAAATAATGGCTTTCTCTTCGTTATATTTTTAAAATGAATCGCATATGACTGGCAAATGACCTCATGTATTTTCTAATGTAATATGAAAATTCTCAACATCTATTGGCATCAATTGACCGAGAAAATTTCACCACTTAATGAATACTATTAAACTTATTACCAACAAATAGTTTCCTTGAAATTAAAAATTTTGATTAACGATTAACGGAATAGTGCGAGCGATATAATAATTGCAACTTGATATAAAAAGATTTTCAGAAATGAAAATCTGTTTGAAATTCTGTACAAAGTATTGTTTTTCTTCATAAATCGTTCTATTATGTATAGTGAAATAAGATACTCATTCGTAATAATAATTCAATAAGATCTTTATTAAAATCAATGAATTTTTTTCTAATTAAATTATTTAAACGATAAAGCTTCATATATATATATATATATATATATATATTTTTTTTACATAAGAGAGATATTAAGCTTGATACTTATTTTCAAAAGTTTCTTCTAACTCGTTAATATCGTAAATCAACCTGTTATTTGCCGACAGGAAATATGAAAATATAAAAATAATATAAGAATGTAGACTTTCTTTTTAAATATGGCGAAAAGGTTTATTAACCAATTGAATTGCTTAAATATTATTGTTATACATAATATCCAATCTAATCGATGATTTTATTAAATATTCATTATAACTATGCGGATTTAATCATTAATAATAACATTAAAAATTAAAATGAAATAAATTAATGCTTTAAAATCATCTATTTTCTTTTATAAAAATTTTTTTAAAAAATAACATTAGAATTCTATATTATGTGCGTTTGCTACATTATCCTACAATTTTCATAAATTATCGATATCACAGTACCTAGGCTCTGTTTTTATACATAAACAATGCTGAGAATTTCTATTTTATTTGAAATACGGTAACATAAATACCGCAAAATAAATAATTTTATTTAAATATACGAAAAAGGTAAACTGCTATCTAGAATTGTTGGATTTTTTATTGCACAAAGATTTTACGCGATAAGTCAACTAAACTCCAAGATGAGTGTGCCGCTTTCTCTAGTAATATTTTTTATTATTGTGGTATACTTTTATGTTTCTTTGCAACTAGTTGCAGATATCATCGGTGACACTTTAATATCTTTGCATGCTCGTACGTTCTCGTCTTGCAAGATAATTACTTTCACATACGCGGTAATTCTTGTTGTAAAGAGTTCAGGATATTTTAAAAGCACGTATTACACAATCCTAGATCACGTAATAAATCGTCGATAAATTTTTAAATAAATTTTGAACATTGTTTTTATGGAGTTGGATAAAGTAGGAAACTAACGTTTAAAAAGTAAAGTAATTTTGTTCTCTCTCTCTCTCTCTGTCTCTCTCTCTCTCTGTCTCTCTCTCTCTATCTATCTATCTCTCTCTCTCTCTCTCTCTCTCTTTGCAGTATACATTACGATAAACTCGAAAATAATTGCTTCAATCCTTATTGTTTAGGTCGGCAAATGGTACTAGTTAAAAATAATGTTAATTATCTGTATAATAATTATTAATATGCTAAACAATAATCTTGTTATATCATTGGGAAAGTTTTCATTTTTAGTTTATGAAAAATTGATATATAAAAAGCATTATAAATATAATACTTAAGAGAAGAATGATAAATTGTTACAAACCTAAATAATACACATGAAAAAGTGTAATATTAAAGTCAATAGACATTTTTATATTAATGTTTAAGGCCTTCGTGTTTAAAGCCTAAATTTTCTGGTACTTTATTTTTTTCAAATCGAAATTTCGGTAATTCTTACGAAAACGATTTTTTGTAGTTAATATTGTAATAAACATATTCTTTAAACGCTATCGTTCACTATGTAAACTAGTTGGTGTGGGGTCAAAAAAGTGTGATTAATTTAAAAATATAATCATCTTTATGATCTCAAAATTGAGAGTGAAATCGTTAATCGGCATATTTTTTAATTAAGATTTTTTTAGTGCACAATAAATAAAATTAATATTAATATTGATATTCAGAGAGCAGCTTCGGTAAATGTTACGGGATTCCGATATTTACTTTGATTAAATACATAGTCTCTTATATTTTGTTTGTTATTATTGAGTGAAGAATTTTATAAATTTTCAAAACAAAAAATCACAATCTACCTACTGTTGGCTTTCGCCATAACAGGAAATACTAGCACCCAAGGTATTTAAATTTCATTGTTTCGTCTTAATATAAAGTTGAATGTATCGCTTATCAGTTACTTCATTCGATCTATCTCCGATCTCAAATCAATCTCCGACGTTAAATTTATCGAATAATTTTTCAAGACCACATAATGAGGAATGCC